AGGTTGTAGGAGTAATGAGGCAAGAGACAAAGTTTTATCAGTATGTTCTCATTGAAAGAAGGAAAGACTGTTTTCTAGGTCCACGCAACTTGCACATTCTCGAGGTTCGAAGAGTGTTGCACTGCCTATGCAACACCCTCAGGCCTGTTTTAGTGGATACGACCACCTTATTTGTCTTTTGGTAGAACAACCAGTGGCTTTTAGCGACGGCAAGACTAGTCATCCAGAGACTCATCGTCAACAAACCCATAATAATTCAGTTGTCATATCATGTGCTTTTACAGACAGTCGAAACAGCAGCCAAACACAGTATACAATGTTGCATTCTGTGCCGGTGTCCGGGATGAGGTCTACGTGACCCACGGTAGTGGTCTGCTGAGCATGATGAAGGAAGGACCAAGTGCTAACGCTTGTTTAACCTCCAGCTCGACAGCTCTTTCCAGTGTGAATATGTGGACATTTTTTCAGCTCTCAGTTCCATGTTATTCGCCAGCTCAGCCAGTCCAACTTACAGAGGCTCTGCTGGTTCATATTTGACTGACGTGTCAAACTGGTCCATTGATGCCATTAGTCAGGCTCCCCTTTCCACGCTACCATTGCGGAGCATGACACTGTCATGTGCTTTCACATAGACATCACAGGCGTCAGTAGTGTACAAATGTTGTTCACAAAGTTGGGTACTGTCAATGGGTATATGAGAACTGGTTGAGTTTTTTCATTCTTTGACAATATTCTATGGGTGTATGAATGTACACAGCTGCGAGTCACATGTTCACATGTTCTTAACGAAATCATTTCGTTTGTGGCACGATGTGGCCTGTCCGTTTATCTACTGCAGTAAGGAAGCCAATCCACGTCATTCGACCTCCCTTACATTGGAGGAGAGTGTGCCTTTCCGGCTTATATGCGGATACCGAAATGCTACCAATTTACTCACAAAAAGTTGCACTCTTTAAGCGGAATAATATTATCTTCCTCTTTTTTACATTCTTTTAAAAAGATTTTTGTAAATCGCAGATTTTTGCTTTTTTATTTCATTTGACGATTTGGTGGTCGTGTCCGATTGCACTGATAGGTAAATATTTTTGAGACATTTGGCAAACATTTAAAAAGGACTATTTTCAAAAAAATAACAGGAGCTGGGTATTTGATCCAACGCAGTAACTACAAAGCCTTCTGTACATCTTCCAGCAGCATTCCTAGTACCTGATGGAGAATACGAACAAATGTGCCCACTTTAAGGAAATGCTATGGCCTGTTAATACCCACTTTGATAGAATAAAAAGCGGCTCTCCTAGTATGCTTAAATCCCTCCCATCTGACGGTAAGTTTAAAAAAATTGAATAACACCTACGATTTATACTCTAGTAAAGCAAATGAGATAGAGGAAAGATAGTAAAAATGCGTTTTTCCTTGCGTTAAAATTATTAAATAAATAAACAATTTTTAATTCCCTTGCTTGATGTCGCAGAAGGTGTTTACAGAAGGGAGCTAACAGTCTAGCTACCTGCCTATCCGCCTCACCGCCTATACCCCACAAACACATGTGTAAAAGCCATGATCATTGGATCTGTTTTATGTCAAGAAAATTGAGCATGCTTATGAAGGCATAGATGTGTGAGTGGATGTGTTTCGTATCAGTGCAATATATTGCATAAAAATGGAGTTAGAAATGTATGTATTATATATCCATAAAATTTGCTGCCTCAAACTAGATGTAAGCATGTTTGCAAATTGGAACAGCTAAATGGGACCTTTTTTATGTGTGAAGATGTGAGTAAGGATGCATTTTGTATCCTTACAATAGAGAATATGTAAATGCCTTTGGATGTGCATGCAGTTTGCGTTGGACAAATTGAGTTTGTACAAATATATGTATGTGTAAATTATTTTGAATTAGTAGAAATGAGGATTAACATAAATGTATATGTATATGAATGGATTCACTCTGTGATACTGCGGTGGGACATGTATAAATTTATTTATTTGTACAGGCAATTTGCAATAGCTGAAGTTAGCCCATGAACTTGCTGAATGCTTGTGTACATTTTGATTTGAGCAGATTTTGCATATATACATGTGTATGTATGTGGGTATGTATCTTGAATTAGCTAAAATGAATAAACACTTACATATAAATGTGGGTGCATGTGTGTATGAATTAATAATTTTTGCCATGAGGTGTATACAAATGTGGGTACGATTTCTTCTGTTTTACATATACGGAGGTATATTTTTATAGTGAAATATGAAAGTGCTGTTATGTTTGCGTGCACTTTGCATGCGTCATATTATGCGAAAATGAAAGAGACTGTTAAGGGTGTGTGTATTAAAATAGCTATATTGATAACACCTGCAAGCTGATCAACGTAGTACTGAGCGAATTTTGCACTAGCTTTGCTGGGCTTATGCAAACTCCTTTATTTATGCATAGATTTTATGTCAGCTAATTTGGTAATAAATTAATTATCCATTGCGGGTATTTTCAATTAGGTATATATATATGTATAGGCATACGGGTGGATAAAATTCTATCAGTTTAATAGGGCTTACGCAAATGCGCTTATTTGCACTAGTCAAAATGAAAATACATAAATAGGCAGAGCGTACTTACCTTGAGTTAGCTGAGTTGCCAACAGATATGCAAGCATAGAAAACTGAGTGAGTGTATTTTGTACTAATGCGGCTTACATATATGTGTTTACGAATGCTTGTGTCTTATATTAGTTTTATTGCATATATGCATTTAAATTTATGGAGGCGGGCATGTACTTTGAATAAGGTAAAGTAAGCATACATATACAAGGAAAGGTGTATGAGTGGATACATTTGTGATTAATACAATGGGGTGGAAAACTATGTTTATTTTTGCAAGTATTTCCCATATGTTTAATTGATGATATTAGCACTGTTGCATTCTTAAACATATTTTAAACTAGCTAACTTGATTTTACGCATGTATGTGAAGGTTCTTTGGTGGATATATTTTTCATTAGTGCAATGGCGTATGCACAACTTTGATTTTTTGCGTTCATTTTGCATTAGTTAAATTGAGCGTACATAAATAGGCATTTGGGTGTAGGCATTATGAATGAGCTAAATTGAATATTAAAAACGGGATGAGTGTTGAATTTTATATTATTGAAATTGAGTACAAGTATATGGGTGTGAATGATTGCCGTTTGTATAGGTTAATTGAGCTTCCGCATGAGCGTTGCTTGAGAGGAGCATTTATAATTGTTACGTAAAGCATACGTACGCATATTTTAGGGCGTATTATATTTGATAGTGGCATTATGTAGGTGGTGATTTGCTTTGCATTAACATATATGGGAAAGGAGGGATGCATTGTATAAAATATTATTGTATATACGGAAGAGTTTTCTGGGAAGTTTCATTTTGTAGTAACGTACTGGATCAGGCACATATGGATAAGTATATGATAGAGCACTTTTTATTTGTGAAATGTTGTAATACGATAGTGGTTTATCCCTCGGTTCTGGTGAGGCGCCGCTTTTGTACTTCGAATTAGCCCCCTTGTACCTCGCTGGGTGGGCTGGCCTTTTGGGCCATGCCAATAGCACGGCCACCTTCTCCTTGCTGAATATATATATTCTGCCCGAGTATTTTGTCTTCTTTCGTCTTCAGGGAGTCTCGGGACGCTACAATATAGCACATGTGTGTGTGTGCAATTTAAGATGCATTTCCCTATTAAGTTTGTGCATACATATGTGCATATAAGCATAGAACTACATTTATCTTAAAATTGGTAATATGCATATTTGTAAAGGTAAATATATTTTTATCACAAATTTTTTATCAGGAATCGGCCAAATGTTAAAGCCAGAGTAAATTTATACCCCGTAATATTTTTTTTGCGTATTTTAGGCTCTTAAACGTCACTTATATTAAATATTTTTGGGTAAATTATTTAATAAGAAAATTATTTTGATTTTAAATATTGATATGGTACTACAAGATCCCACCACGTTATTTGAAAATTTTGTTTTGACAAAATGTATCTGCGTCACTTTGGTTTTTCCTTGGAGGCATATTTATTTTTCCACAGATCAGCTGATCATGGCGTATCTCTCAGCTGTTAGGGGCTGTCAAATGGACGACATCGATTGGCGTGATGTCACCAAAGTGGAATTGCACTCTCAGCCTCCCTCATTGTGCGCCCGGTGCTATCAGCGGCCATTTCTGCCTCGAATAGGTCCGTGTGGACATGTATACTGCTACCGGTGCATCTGGATTCGCATTACATTTAACCATGATGAGCGTGTTGAGGTGTCCAAGCTGTCCTTAACCCTTAAAATAGTGGATCTTGAGAGGTGAGACAAGTAGCTGGCCACTTTACTAACCTTTATTTGGAATAGGGATATTTCAGTCAGCTGTCGCCCTTGTGAAATAAAAATTTATGTGCAGGGCAAAAGAATGCTGCACTCATGTGTACAAGGTATTTAAACCACGAGATATGACTATCATTTGGTGGAGGCAATAGAAGTAGTATTTCGCATCTGATCCGACAGAATATCACATCGGTGGGATAATACACATCAAAGCGGTGAATTTCGAGAAATCAAGGCATCATATTTGTAATGGCAGAGGACATCTTGAGTGGTTTTTGACATCAGAAAAATAATTTGGCAAAAGATAATAAAAACGAGTTCGACCGCCGCACAAAACAGAGTCTCGGTATGCTTGGTGTCTTTAAATTAATTTGTTATAGAACTACACGTTTATGGCATATTCCTACGTGCTGGCAACCGACGATAAGACGTGGCGGAAAGCCATACTTTGGAAATTTTAAACGATTTGGAGCTTAATTATTTATGTATATCCATACATATATACATTCGGGTGCCTGTGGAAGGGTTGTGCATTATTATAATTGCATTTATATCTGCGCGTGTCTTTTTGAAGTGCTTTCTATTCGTCAGATTGAGTTTATATTTGCGTTAATTTCTGCATGCAATGGTTGCAAGTAAAATTTGTTGTGTTTATGGGTATGTATAAATATATTATGCACTAGTATAATTGAGCACGCATAATATGTTCGGATATCTGTAAATACATTATGTTTTTGTAAATTATATGCATAGATGAGCGTGTGCAGATGCTTTCCGTTTCAGTGTATATGTGGATGCATCCTGTGTTACATTATTTAATGATGTATCTTTGCTCGTTAATGTGTGAGTTTTATTTTTGATTTGTAAGCGTGAGTTCTTTATCAGGGATGTGTGAAAGTGTGGACTCTTTTTTGTGTCAGTAAAATGTAGAGTATATTTTTTATGCATGATTATATGGATGCTATTTGTGTTTATACGATTGAGAATGTGGATTCGTGTATGTGTGAATATACTTTTTTTGTTAGCAAAATTTTTTATATAAGCCCAACCTTCCTCTTTTGTTGCGTGCACTTAAATTTAGGCACACTTATTTTTATTTGTGAATGTGTCTTTGTGTCATGAACTAGTAAAATTAAGTGCACAAAGGCGTGATGGTGCGGTCGTAGTTTTTCTTAAAACTTGTTATTTCACATTCATATTTCTAATTGTTTATAGGTGAGTTGTCCGTTATTGCGGTTTGGCATGCACATAAATATGCGTGTGTGTGTGTGTATTGGGATCTATGAAAATTTCTAACCCACATATGCAGATTTATATGCATGTGTGCGTGATTATAATATATATCAGTATGATCGAATGTGCATACATAAATTTACCCCTGTATGTGTGAATGCATCCAGCATCAGTAAGTGTTTATGTTTTATTAACTTGAGCATGCTTGGATTGGATAAATTTAATTTGTATGCTTGTATGTATTGATACATTTTGTGTAAGTATAATTGAGCATACATGCGTAGGCTGTGTGTGATTTTATTACTACTATCACTACTTTTACAATATTTACACATGTTTTAGGTGCTATATGTTGCATTCTTGGTATTGTACACATGCTTTGGCAAGCATGCGTGGGCATATTTTTGGGGTAAAATCGTGTACAAATATTTCCACATATGTGGTTGTGCTTTTCAAGGTAATGGCTGTACGTATGCATCTGAACGAACGTATTTTATGCAAGTTAATAATACACATACGGACAAGTTTTTATAAGTAAAATTTTTATAGGGAAGTGGAGCATATATAGATGTGCGCATTTGTAGAAGTCTTTGTATTTAAATGTGTTATTCAAGAACGCTTATAATTATTTTGCATCAATAAAACGGTAAGTAAAATTTATGTGTAAGAGGTAATTTGTGCTATATAAGGAAATTCTACATAAATGTGTAATGCGTTAGTTTCTTTGCTTAACTCTCGGTTTTGTTATAGGGAGCACTTAGGCATTTCGTCCTTTTGTCTTCGCTGTGTAGGGCGGTCCTGGGCCATGCCAGTTGCCTCAATCTCTACCCTATATTTATTAGGCATATTTTGCCTGATTAATATATCTTCTTCCCTCTCCAGGGGAGTCTCGGGGCTACACAATAGTGGCGGCAGAATGCTAACTGGATCTTAGGGCCAATCAGTCCTGATTTCTACTACCGAATGATAAACCTCAGTAAAGGGAGAAAATGTGCACATGCTGGGAGAAGTGAAACTGGAGTAGCTCCCGGTATCTTCTAACCAAACACGAAGGCACCAACTACCGATGTGCTAAGGTACACACTGCGACTGAAAGAATGTACTCGAAACCTTTCAATATCGCACGTAAGCACTTACCACCGTCATATATCAGGCAGAAGAAATATCATGACAAACAGCTAGACTAGCCTCTACCGAGAAGGGGATCTAGTACAACTACACAGGCCGGTTTCACCCTTCCTCCAAGACTACTCTGCAAGTTCCACCTCGAGTGTAGCAAGGATGCATTCCGAGTGGTGAATGTCTTCTACTAATCGCCTCATGCGCACTGCACAACCAATCGCTGCTCAGCACAACACGACGCAACCGTGCAAAAGTGCACCACCAATCGGATGTAGAGTTAAAACTGATGTAGTAAAGGAAGAAGAACCAATCCCAGATGGCATTTTTGGGGACCACCCATATGGTGTGCAGCGGAGACTGGATTCAAAACAACGAGGGGGCTGTGTAATGCATATTTTGTTTACTAAAAGCCTTTATTTAATAAACCAGAAAATACAAAACCTCATTGCATGGGAGTTGTCAAAAGTCTACAGAGAAGACTAGAGTCGGAAAGACACACACTGTTTAGCACGTTTCCATTCTTTAAAGAGTATCAATAAATATGCCCTATCATATCAGTCTGGTCGTTCAGAAGGGTTAAAGAGGGAAGGAAACAATGAACTTGCTACGGTGTTGATGACATTTTCATCCATGTACGTAAATGCGTGTATGTATTGTGCATTAGTGAAATTGAAAACTTGTATGTCGGTGTAATACGATGGATGTTTACCTCTGGGTATTTGAGGGGAGCAACCTTTGACTTGGCCTTTGTACCAAGCCGGGTGGGGTGGCCTTTGGCCTATGCCAGTAGTCCAAATACCTTCTCTGTGCCGAATATATGTATTCCACCCGAGTATCATGTCTTCTTTCGTCTTCAGAGAAGTCTCGGGACCCTACAATAGGCGTGCATGTTGGGCATTTTTTATGAAGGAACCGAAGTGGGTATTAGTAATGCAGTGGGAGCGTGTATTCTGTATCATTGAAATTGTTCGGATATATGTTTGCATTAGTGATTGTAATTTCCAACAGTCAATTGTGCATACTGGTATGCTTTTGTCTGAGAGGATTACTCTCAATAGTTAGGAGAAGCATCTGTGGTGTATTTCAGAAGGTATTTTAGTTAAAGGAAAATCTACTTGTGTTGACACCCTAGTTTTAATATATTGTTATGTTGGTAGATAAATGGGCATGAGAGGATTATTTTATAAAATGTACGCGTGCCCTTGGATAGTTCCATTTTGTAATAATATAGTGGAGGATATTTACGTGTTTGAGCACGTGATAATGAATTTTTTACATGTGAACTGCATCATCCATATGCTTGTGTAATTTTAGATGTATTTTCTCATTTTATTTACGCACACAGATATGTGCAAATATACCTGGATTTTTTTTATAAAAATTGATTACATTAGTATTTGGGGATGTAAATATATTTTTTCTTTAAATTTATCGTATATTTTAGGTTTTTAAGCATTACTAGTATTAAATAGAATGCTAAAAGACGTTTTTATTTTGAAAATTATTTTATGCGAAAATTGTTTTGATTTAGAAATGGTGTGAATTTGCTAAAATATTTATACACTGGCGAAAAATTTTGTTTTGACTGAATGCATCTGCGTCACTTTGGTTTTCCCTTGGAGGCATATTTATTTTTCCACAGATCAGCTGATCATGGCGTATCTCTCAGCTGTTAGGGGCTGTCAAATGGACGACATCGATTGGCGTGATGTCACCAAAGTGGAATTGCACTGTCAGCCTCCATCATTGTGCGCCCGGTGCTACCAGCGACCATTTCTGCCTCGAATAGGTCCGTGTGGACATGTATACTGCTACCCGTGCATCTGGATTCGCATTGCATTCGACCACGATGAGCATGTTGAGGTGTCCAAGCTGTCCTTGACCCTTAAAATAGTGGATCTTGAGAGGTGAGACAAGTAGCTGGTCATTTCGCTTACCTTTATTTGGAATAGGGACATTTCATTGGCTTTAGGAAATTCCGATTTATGCGCTGCGATAAAAGGATAGCAAACTTATGAATAATAGACAGTTGGACTTAGAGGCATCATTTGCATTTGGTAAAAGATTAATGATGCAGGATTTTGCCTTAATGAGGAAATACATATCTGGTCGCTGAAGTGCGGGAAGTCAAAACATGGCGGTGATGGTGGCAAGGAAGATCTTGAGTAGTCTTTTTCACCTGCATTAAGGTTTTCTAAACCATCACAGAGACGACTTTGACAATATATATATATACGGATGTGCTTATGCATGTTAGTGAAATTTTTATGTAATTTTATTAGCCATATTGAGTAAGCACATGCCTGTATGCATTTATTGTCAGCTAGTTATATACTTCTATACGTGAAAATATATTATGTATTAGTTCAACTAAGTAGATTTGCGCATTTTATTGTGAATATGATATGTTTACACAAGTGTATGTGCATAAGACATTTCGCGTCAGTGATAATTTGTAGACATGTGAATGTGTGATTTTATTCTGTATAATTATAATTTAACCCGGATCTGTTTTCGCAACTGTGTGGATTTATTTTTGTTTGGAAAATTTCGCAAATGTGATTGTGTGCGAGTGATTATATGTATGTTATTTGTATTTACATAAATAAGAATATAAATTCATGAATATTGGGATGTTTTTATAAGACATATTGTTACGCATATGTGTATGCATGACTCTCTTCATTTTTGTGCGTTACTGCAATCACTTATACATGTACATGAGTGAATTTGTCTACTTATTAGTAACACTGGCCACATATTTTTGTGATTGTGTAAATGCGTTTTCTTTGCTAAAACTCATCATACCTGCATTTGCATTTGTGAATATTTGTGGATGAGTTGTTTATTAATGAAATTAAACATACTTTTTGTACCTGTATGTCTAAATGTATTACTTTTGGTAAAATTTCACCAATATATATGCTTATGCTTGAATATATTTCACATTACTGCGTAAGGGTATATCGGAAGGTTTTTCGTGTGCTTGTATTTTTTATTAGCCAAGTTATAAATGGTTTACTAGGTGTATGCGTGGATTTATTTTAAATTATCCAATTTGAGCACATATAAATATATGCATAGGTGCACGACTGAATGCATTTATACGGTGGGATACACATAAATATGTGTGTTTAAGTATTTTGCACTGGATAATATGAGCTTATTCAAATATATTTGTACTTGCTTGTTTTACAATAGTTAATTTAATTGTGAGTAGTGGTATGAGTCTTTGGTTTGCATTATCAGAGTAGCACCTAAATGCGTTTTCATCAATGAATGTTTATTGTACTAGACAAGTTTTGTGCACAAATTAATGTATTTATGAGTGCATTTCTTATCACTAAACTACACATGATTGCGTGTATGCGTAAATATATATATTTTTGCATTAAAACTGCGCATATACATATTTGGGTATGAATTGATGTAATTACGAAATATAATACCCGTTTATAAGTGTCTGGGTGGAGGTATTTTGCGCTAGTTAATTGTACAGATGCTTATGGGTTTGTGTGAGTCAAATATTTATCGGGAAAAAAAACATTTATGCGTGCATTTGTTGACATTTTCGTATATAAATGTAATGTGTGTAGGCTTGTGTTTATAATGCATTACAGGGAGGGTGTGTGTATATTTATGTGTATGAGGCACGATAATTCTATATACCTAGGTAATTCGTTGGTAGCTTGTTTAACTCTCAGTTTTTTTAATGAGACCACTCAGACACTTTGTCCTTCTGTCTTCGCTGTGTGGGCTGACCCTGGGCCATGCCAATATTCTCAAGCACCATCCTATATTAATTACATATACTCTGTTCAATTAATATGTCTTCTTTCGTCTTCGGCTGAGTATCGGGGCTCTGCGTTGGTGGCAGTGGAATGTAAACTGGATCTTAAATTTAATAAATTCTGATTTCTACTGCTGGATGATAAACATCAATAAAAGGTGGGAAAGTTTATGTGCTGCGGATGGGAGAATCACCGGCCAGTCTTAATGGAGGGGCTAAAAAGGACGTCTACAACCCCAACTGCCTCATTCTCGTGTTTTACAGGAAAGCGACGTCAGTTGTGGATCATTTGGAAAAAATTTCGTTGCGGAGTTGCTTACCGAACTCGCACTGACATGTCAAATACATAAACATGCGACACATCCTCTACTTCTCTATTGACTGGGTAGAACCCAGACAGAATAAGCTAGGCAGCTGTGAGGTGAGGACAATATGGCAAAAAAGTATGGGCGCAAATGCCTGTTCCCAAGCAACCATGTTTAATCCCGTCTTTTGTTACATGACTCTGCTTTAGATCTAGTGCTCCTAAAATAGGCTCCAGACGAGCATGATTGGCAGTAAACACGCCAATCTCCAAATCTAGTTTTATTAGGTACAAAATCCCAGGGGAAGTTGATATTTTTCAAAGAATCAGTGGCTTTGCAGTCAAGTATTTCCTTAGTTGCGTGGGCATGTAATGACTGCCAAAATGTGGCTCCTGAATATTCCCTTACGGTACTAATTACTCCGTGATGGCCGGCTCAGGAGGTTGACCAAGGCGTGCGCCCAGGACGGTGTTCAAAAGAGAGAGTGGACTTTGTAATACGTTGCTTGTTTGGATGACCCCCGATGTAGCAAATTGTAAATTAGAGCCTCCACTATTATTCCTTCGCAGGGTGGGCAGCCTTCGAGCAGAAACAGTGGCACTATCCACTTCCGCGTCAAATATATGCATTCTACCTTAACTATCGTGCCTTCCTTAGCATTCAGAAAATTGTTGGGATGGTGCATATAGGTGTGCATCAGTCTGACTTCACTTTATATTACTAAATTCCTATATATATGGGTATAGAATTTGTGCATTTTGCAAAAGTGAAGCATAGTGCAAAACTAAATTTACACAAGTGTGAAAATTTTGTTTTCCTAATTGTGCATGCAGGTATGCGCACGTGTTTGGATTTTTTTATCCACAGAAATCACTCATATGCAAGTGTGGTAGTGAATTTATTTTTATTTAAATTTTCTCCTCTCCTTTTAGGATCTTACGCAGTCTTTATAAAATTTCCAGAATATACAATATTTTTTGGTGAATAGTTTTCAAAAAATTATTTCTTTTTTAAAAATAATATACTGCTACAGAAATTATCCATGTAAACTTTAAATATTTTAATTTGACTAAATGCATTTTTATCACATAGCTTTTTCCTTGGAGGTACATTTGTCTTTTCCACAGATCAGCTGATCATGGCGTGCCTCTCAGCTGTTAGGAGCTGTCAAATGGACGACATCGATTGGCATGATGTCATCAAAGTGGAGTTGCATTGTCAGACTCCATCATTGTGTGCCAGTTGCTGTCAACGACCATTTCTACCTCGAATAGCTCCGTGTGGGCATGTGTACTGCTATCCGTGTATCTGGATTCGCATTGCGTTCGACCACGATGAGCGTGTCGAGACGTGCCCAAGCTGTGGCCGACCTCTGAAAATAGTAGATCTCAGAAGGTGAGACAAGTAGTTGGTCAGCTTACCTGTCTTTATTTAGAGTTAGTACCTTTCAGGCATACACTCCGAAAGTTGGTGACCTTATGAAGTTTCAGTTTATGCGCAGGGACAAAAGGATGGTAAACTCATATGTATTGGATATCTGGACTGCAAAATATCATTCGCATTTGGTAAAGGCGAAGAAAAGAAATTTTTTGCATCTCATTCGGAAAGATATTGCCTTAACGAAGAAATACATATTAGAACGACGAAGTGCGGGAAGTCAAAGCATCACACTGATGGTGGCAAGAGAGATATTGTGTAGTCTTCGACAACAGCTAGAATGTTTAATACAAGATATCAGAAACGGCTTTGGCCCCACCACTCGAAAATATTACCTCGGTACGATTTTTCTTCAAATTATTTTGTTTTAGAGCTACATAGTCATGATATATTCCTTCATGCTATTAATAGAAGATGTCTTTTGACTCTGTACGGCGAATCAAAGATGCCCAAAACGGTTTCTGGAAGGGTGGTTGCTGTTAAGCGCTTTACCATGGATTTGGTATGTAGTGATATCATGAGAAATTAACTTATTCATCTTTACTAGTGTCTATGCCCTATTGTTTTTATGGATGATTCATTCACTTTTGAATAGATTTTACGTGACGTGATTCGACCACTGCGCCACCTGCCACTTGGTCACACCTTCTACTTCGTAATACTGGATTTCGGTTTCTCAGCTCTCAATGAAAACACCTACTTCCGAAGAGAATATGAAAGGCTAATGGCCGAAATGTCTTTGGGTCATATGGACATCGTGGATGCAGTCGGTTATGATATCAATGACAAATTATGTAAGTCTGTGGCATTCTTATGATTCCTTCGCCCTACTCTGCCCTCATCATGGCGATGCGAAAGTCGGTTTTTTATTTGCTGGCGTTTATCTTTTCCTGAAAGCCTTCGATTACTGAACTTTACCTGACTTCGTCATTTTAGCTCTTGATTTAAAACGAACCGATATTTACTTCGTGGACGAGTTATTCTCTCTCCCTCACGCAGACATGCGGTCGCCCCTTGAAGGCAGCTCCATTCAAGAATCTCCTGCGCAGAAACCCATTCATTGGCACATCATTGTAAGCCCTCTTTCTTTACTCATTACTTTGTCATGCTCCTTATCTCACTTTTTCCACTTGCTTACATCCATCCCTATTCAGAGTTCTATTTTTTTTCCAATTTTGCCGCCTGTGTGTTTGAGCCTCTCAATGGACTCCTCTTTATCAGCATGCTATTTCAAGCAAAGGGAATATTGGTAATAGTCATCACACACTTGATTTAGTTAGTTAGTTTTTTTGTTCCGTAATTCCATGTCTTCAACTAGTCTTGTTTGCATTTTTTTGGTTCAAGTGGTCAAGTCGTTTGTTCTTGTTTCGCTTTTGGTAAATGCAATTTAAACTGGAATAAAAACGCGTCTATGTCCCTGTTTTTTCCTTTGGATAGACTCTGCCTTCGGGTTCGCAGGCCCTTTTCACAACTCCGCTGCTGCGAAAGCGTCTTCAGGACCAGCTACCCAAACGCCCTTAGCACAGCAAGTTACGAACAGGCCACTCAACTTGACACAGTTAAGTAGGCATTGCGTAGGTGCTCTACATTTACTTCGATTCAACGCCATTCTCCGATGGTGCTATCTAATCTTGGCAGCAGGCACGGATAAGCGTTACTATGCGAACAGGAAGTAAATTTGCCTAGATTTTGCAGAAGTCTGCATGGAATCATATCGACGTCCCATATTTAGTGCATTCAGAGGCACAACGGAGACGGAGTTGTGGAATGGCGGAGATGTAATCTACGAAATATCTGCTTAAAGTTGCCAAGTATGACAACCTGTTCATCAATCGTGTATATTAGAAATAGTTTGCACACCCACAAAGTCGACTTACTTTTTTCAACCTTGACGTATAATTTGATAACTGTGTGATTACAGCTGTAGTATTTTGACGCCTCGAACTGACTTGTATCTTTCAGAAAGGAGGTGTAGTGGTACAATGGGGTCTTAACAACTGCTTTGCCACTCAACTTTGTAGGTGGAAGATGAATAGTTTTAATGCATGAAGTGAAGATAAATGCATAATATTGTCTTTAGGGTGAATAGTTTGCGTGTGTAAATTACATTATTTATAGACATCTTCCTTCTTCTCAAATACTGATATAACCACCTCCATCGTGTCAAAAGTGGTCATGTTAAAGATGGGGAATTGACTATAGCACGTGTGATTAATGTCTAGTCATAAATGTCAAGCCCTAATGACTCAATATTCGTTGTTGTAATTATTGCCCAATAACGTCTATTAATGCGTATTTTCCCGCATTACCCATCTACCCCTCTTCCCCTACATTGCTTTGATCAGATGAAATTTAAACACTAAGTTAGGAAAAGCAAATAAAGTAGGTCGTAAATAGGAGTCTGGGAAAAAACACCCTGGACTTTGTGCAATTAATAATCTGATGACGACACTACTTCATTTGATCTCACAAGAATTCACCACTTCATTCCAAAGGTACAACTTAATTGGCCCTCTTCAAAAGTTAAGGAAATGATCTGCAGTTGCCTTCACGGAGCCCTTTTATCTATTTCCAATATAAGCGATGTTTAGAAAAATAGTTCATCAAGATAAAGGCTTAAAAATTTGAGGCTTTACTACTATCTTCAAGTGTAATTTGGGCTGTTGTAGGAGCACACTAGTTGTGACAATGGGTTAGAGGTCAAACTGTGGCAGTTCAGCGATGCTCCTATTGTAGTAAAAAGGAGAAGAACCAATGTTCTAGGCTGTTACAACTACCCTCCCCAATATCGCATAACCCAAAAATTACAGTCCAATGGCTGAAAGGGTTCATCACAAAGTAGACGAGTTAATTTTACTGGTTTGCAAGACTGACTTGGGAGAAAGAAAAGGACACCAGTGCGTCAGTAGCTCTCGGTAAGGTCGAAAGGTAGTAAGTTAGTGATTTAGTTTGCATCTCCACCGAAGGAAAGCTACCAAGTAGAGTTCCAAACTTATTTTCAATTAATTTAAGTTTAAGTAGGCATATTTGCTGACCTTTTGACTTCTAATGGGTAGTAGCTGTTAGCATTAGTTGGTCTAAAAGTGTCCACTCATTACTATCGCAGCTTTCGGGTCGTAGAATTGTACCGTAACATCATCAGAAAACTAAGCCTTTTATGTGTGTGCAACGCGCTGTGGGCAGAACTCTTCACCCATTAAAGCCTCAATAACGAATTTAATTGAATTCTATCCGGTAGAAGCGTATGGAAGGTGGGCAGGTAGGACTTCCTTCTCCAAAACAGCCATGGCTTTCGGTTAATTTGAAGAAGATTCTCTTCTTATTGGAAAACCTAAGACCTCACAACGCAAAGCCCATCAGTAAACGGACCCTTCACCTTTAAAGTAAAATGCAGTAGGAACTGCTACCTTGGCCTTCGTATCATCATTTCACATTGTCATTCTTATTGGCACCAGTCAGTCACACACGGAAGTAGTAAGCAAGATCATTCAGGCAAATGCAAAATTGAAAAGAGGCTCCATTACCTCCTGAACCATCATAAAAGGCTTGCACTCCCGCACATGGTTTAAATGAAGTGGTAACATAAATGTGCCAACTTTTATATCCCTCTATTTTATGCCTCAAAACTATTTCATGAAGTTAATCTATTAAACTATTACCTTATTTTAAAAGGATCATGCCTTGCTCTTTGGTGGTTTATTGAAGTCCTCGTAATACTAATTATTAACGCAAAATTACAGCCCCGCAGCACTGAAAGACAAAAGATTTCCTTCACAGTCAGACACATAATAAGTATATTTACACAACTTAGGGGCTGAAACTGCGGTTCATGACAGTCGATTTAATGAAATTATTTGTTTGGGGGAAGCTTTTGCATGGTCTCCATGGGAAACCACAGGTACCAGACAAGATTAGGTCAAGTGAAAGGGACAATTTTGAGATAAAATGTCATCGAAATGACTGCTAAAATGTTCCAAGTGGGGCACATTTCGTGTTGATCAACATGTCAAGTTAACAAAGTTTTTTTATCCTTATTAATTGTCCTCCCTTAATTGTTGCGGTTTCTGAGGGTTTTGTGAATATTGCAGCCGAGACTGCCCCCGTGACACTTGCAAGCGTAGCAGTTGCTGGTACACTGGTACATGTGCACCGATAGTGGACCCTGTTCTCCGGGTGGCAGAATTAATGGCAATTGCCTCTCCGAAGTTAATCACAGACACGGTAGTTGCTTTAACAGTGGGTTTCATTGTCAATGCTCTGCTTGTAGCACACTTGTTAAGTCTGTTCTGGCAATGGTTGCCCCTGTTCTTTCCACAATTCCGGTAAACGCACTTGCATAATTCCCTCTGTAGATTAGGCCTGCGTACCTAAGGATGGGCTCTGTTACACAATACATAAGCAGAAACACAGAGCACAATATATTTTTCATTTTAACTTTTGCTAATTATTTAAGTTATTCACCTAATTTATCTTATTCACTATTACCTGACAAAGTGACAAAATAATTCAAATTTTCTGTTCGGTTGGATAATCAGGCCAACTTTTTAAACCAATCAAAAATGCTACCGAAACAAGCTCCTCGCGCAGGTTTTAACAACTTGTGAAACAGCAAATACCAAGTCCCATGCTCACATTTGTAATGGCATGCGGGTAAAAGTGGCTGCAACAAGAGTTCGAGGTCGCGGTGATTTTATGCTGGTGGATTAGCATGGAAATAATCTGATGGATAGAATGGCGAAGCTATTATAAAACCAGTGAAAAGGAGGGGTGTTAGCAAACGAAAGAGTCACACCTTTGTTATCTATACTCTTTAATGCTGGGGATAAAAGGGAAAAAGTAAATTTTTTTCATTGATCTATTAAATCGGCTAGTAGACTTCTTAATGCCATCCTTTGATGATACAAACGTTGTTCACAGAAGCCGATCAGTAGCCTAGATAGCTCTGGCTCTACTCCAATCACATAGCACTCTGCCGTCTGTTCTGCTTTCCATGACTACGGGACCTGGTCAATGCCAAGAAAGGGTTAGCGCATCTTCGAAATGTGGGGCGAGAGTGTTTTTCTATCTCTCTCCATTTACTTTAGTTCTAAAGTGCGAATCTCACAGGTCACATTTAAGCAAGGTGGCTGTGCATTGGGTAGACCAATAAGATCAAGGCATTTGTCCGGACAGTTGAATATCTTTTAGTTGACTTTTTGGCACGCCATTGAGATGTACCCAACAACATGGGGTAGGAAGCGGGACTGATGGTAGGAAAAGCTGTAGCTTGACCACCGGTATGTGGTCCTGTGAGTATAAATTGTGGCGTATTGTGGAATTAGTGAAAGATGTTTGATGTGCCTTCATCCAGCCTAGGAAAACACAAGCCGTTTCTCATTGCAAGTCAAACCTTGATTAATGTCTGACATGTGGAGCGAATGTGTTTAGCAGATGCCACGATTTCTCTTGAATATTTAAGCAACGAGGAATTATTTTGTAAGTATCTCCTTAAGTTTAGCATAGTGAGGTACTCACAGGATAGGCTCAGTTTTCGTCGTTGCATTCAGAACTAGAGATTGACAGTTGCTGCTCTTGAGGCATTTGACGAAGTCCATACCTGTTATAAAGGAATATAGACAGAGAAAGGCACGTTTTATAGTGTGGCACGGAAGGCTTACACAGCAACATGTTTTTATGGGATTCAGTGTAGATCTTTTCCTCCTTCTCCTCTTTGATCTCCTCCTTGGGACTTGTTGGTTTCGCTTGCCCAGGGGCCAGTATAAGCTTATCATTTTAAACTAGATGGTAATATTACTTGGTAGACTGACGCCTGCCTACACTTCTTTCAAATTTGAACAAGCCATTGGTGAAAATTCTATTAGGAAACTTTACGAGTATTTTAGTCACCCAGCAATTTTGGCTTCATAAAAATTTGTATCTCCTTAAAGTACAAAGAAACTTACTTGCTTTTTATTTCCCTCCAACAATAACAATATAATATGAACTAGGAAATATTTAGCGTTTTAGTTTTATGTTTACACCAACTACTACCACAAAACTGTTGATACTCTAGATAGTTTAATCAAATAAGCACTTTGGTTTAGTTCCCCTGATTGTTCATTTCTTCTTCTTTATACTAAGCCTGTGGTATAGTGATCCTCATTAACTACCTGCTTGGACGCAGTACCCAAGGAGCTTACTGAATTAAATAAGCAGAGTTGTTCCAGTTCATCCACCTTGCTAAGAAAGAAAACTAATTTTTATCATTTTGGTAAGTAAACAAGTTAAGGTATAAAAGATTCGTTTCGCTGCAGCTGCTGATCCTGCCAATGCTTTTCTGCTTTCTTTCCTTCTCATCCCATTATTTTTTTCCTAATTTTTCCTTCTCTTCTCGTCTGTTGAGCTGATGAAGTGCCGAGTCAGTGTTACAATACGGTGGTAAAATATGAGGGGTTGTCTAGGTATGATCGCACTAGGCAGACAGGAAGGATTACAATGGTAAATATCTTGGGTTGCCGTGGGCGTATCCTGGAAGACATGGA